ACTCAATTTTGAGGCCCATATCCTCCAATTACACCCCAGTTTGCAATCTCCTTGAGCTCGTTTTCTATCATTACAATTGAACTTCACATTGTAACCATTGAGAGCACTGTAGTTTCTCACCGCATCCTGAAACTCTTCCATTGACCGAAAGAGTTGTCCAACCTCAAACTGCGGATTCCTCATATCCATATCAGCAAAAAATTCTAGGAATCGATAAACAGCATCTTCGTCCGATGAGTAAGCCTAATAACTCCTCAGATGATGGGTACTCCAATTCATCGTCTCCTAGCCCTAAACTCAGCACTACTCCTTTGTTTCTTGCTTCATTCATGTCCAAACCAATTTCAACGCCATCCGTGACATTGTGGTCGTACAATAAATCATCTTCCTCAGAAGCCATGTCCACCTCGGAATCCACGAAATTCGGATCTCATCATAATCTATCGACAAAATGAAAAAAATGAAATTAGTTACCCATGGTGTATAACAAACAATCTCTATGCAGTTTTCATGACAAACATATACATTGCAACACCCACAGAAGGTAACATTCATTTCATGATGTTGGTATTGAGAGTCATTACAACACACACATATTCAACACTCGCATCTCTCTTCTGCTGTGCGTTGTCATGACATTCAAATATACAGAGCGTCCATTGATGAACAGAAATGGCCAGTTTATGAGACATGTAACAATTAACAATACATTGCATCAACGATTTTACCTCCATCTACTTCTGGCTTCTGCCATACGTGCTATTGCTCTGAAGGCGCCGAAGATCTGTCAATGGACTGGAATTGAGATTCTGGGGAGTAATCTTCGTCGCCTTCACAGTCGAAGGCGACGAAGATTCGTCAATTTGGGCAAGGGTTGCGAATTGGGGGCGACGAAGAACTAGGGTTGAGTTTCGATTTTGGGGAGATGGGTTTAGGGATTTCGAAATGGGGAAACAGTCTTAGGGAGAAATGGCGTGTTTTGCAGGAAGAAGTAACGTCCAACGTGGGTGAAATTCACATCGTCGACTGCCAGGTCGATGGCCATCAAGCCACGTCGGACGGTGTGAAAGGCGGGGATGGTGGGTGATGGATAGAGGTGTTGGTTCGTAAGTTCAGTGATGGGTGAGAGTCAAAATGCAGTTGAGTTACCACAACGTGAAGAAGTTATAAGTTCAGTGACTAATGAAAGTTTTTACTCAAAAAGTATACATGTAGGCATGAGGCCCGGTTTTGGGCCCAATTTAGAAGGGGCCTCAGATTTTTTTAACTTAAATTTCTCAGCAATTCCTTCCTTCCTGTTTGGAGTCTGCCCTCCGTGTAGGCGTTAATTCCTTCCTTCCCGTCCGCGGCCGCGCGCTCTCTCTCTCGTGTGCGGCAAAGAATACCACCGAAGTAATCGAAGATAACTCTCTCTGCAAGTCAGTCTCTTACCTCAAGTTTCTACACTTTTAGATCTCGTAACTCAAGTTGAGACATGAACAATACCCTTGCTTTATAATTCTATTCCCACTTGATATACATCTGCTCCTTCTATAAATTATGTTCAAACTCTTTAACATTGGACTTTGGTAGTTTCAAACTCTTCCAGTTATATCATATATGATGTTTGTGTGCGTATTTCATGTGCTGTAATATTGTTTGATTAGTAGAAGAATGTTGATTGATTTGAGACTGGTGTTTGATGAAATGTCAAATTGCTGAAAATGCAATATTATGCTTACATATGATGTGTTTTTTTGGGCCTTTGTTTCTGGTTTTTGACAAATGGTTTAAAAGTCAATTTTTCTTAAGAAGAGATGTGGAGCATCTTGCCCTCATTGATGATTTGGGCAAGAAAGAAGGAATTCACATTGATTATGTTTTAATTTAAGTGAAACTGTTTTCCCTTTTCTTTCCTTAAGGTGGGAGGAAAGGGAATATAAAGGGTACAAGATACAGAACTTTTATTTTTATTTTTTTGACCCGTACATAAAATATGTATGGATCAAAAGATTTGTACAAATACTCCGGGCAATACCCGGACTTACATGCTCAACAAGATGTACTAACGAAGATTTTATTGTTATGAAGAAAATATGTCAATGGATAATCTTTGTTTGTGTACATTGCCTAGTGGCTTGTGATTTAACTTAAGTGAGAGAATTTGGGTGTTGAAGAAGTTGGAAAGACCACTTGAATGGAGATATTGACAAGTACTTTAATAGCAAAAATGTGAAAGAATTAACTGAGAATGAAGAAGTGATTCAATTTCCCAGTGTAATGAAATAAATGAGAAGGAAAAAGATGATGTTCAACGTAAAAAATTAAATCAAGAAGATTGCTTTTCTTTGAATTTGGAGGATCCTAGGAATTGAAAAAATATTGATCAAAAAATGAGGGATTATTTGGTTGAAATTGGTTCAAAAAGAGTTGATGGCATATTGTTTCTTAATGATGGTGCAAATAGACATTTCGATTCTTCACAATATAAGTAATTGCTACCAAATAGGCAGACAATTGATAGAAGATGGCTAGTATATTCAGTATCTATGGACATGATCTTTTGCTTTTGCTGCAAGTTGTTTAAAACACCAAACAATTTGACTAAAATTGGTTAACAAGTTAAGAATTGGTTCTATAATACACTTACAGATTTTGCATGCATGCTACAATTTTAGGGACCTAATTTATGAAATTCGCCCCAAGCCCCCAAAATCACAGGACCGACACTAGGCCTAACATTGTACACATACATGCATATATAATGTGCTGATTACGATTTTAATCTAATAACGTGTATGTGCGAAGGAAATATGGAGTCATTGAAGAGGAAGTCGTTGGAGGACACAATCGAGGATATTGAGGCTCCGCCACTGAAACAACATAGAGAGAATGGTTTGGTAAGTTTGGATGGCTCTGTCGCATGTGTGCACGATGTGTCATATCCTGAAGGGTACGTGTCTCATGCGTTACATTCCACTATGGCGAACCAAGAAGATCTAAAACCAGCTAAGGAGTTTCCATTCAAGCTCGACCCTTTTCAGTCCGAAGCTATCAGATGCATCGACCATGGCGAGTCAGTCATGGTAAGTAATCAAAACTCACCTATAGAGAATTTTGAATCTTGTTTATTTTAGAGTGTGCATATTAAAATGGAAAGAATGCATTTTTTTTTGAGATGTGATGGTGAATATGTGGTTGAAAACGAAGGAAAAGTTATTGATGTGATGGAAAATATTATTTTATTGAAGGATGTGTAGTTGAAAATGAGTAGAAGAATGCGAATGTGGCTCAAACAAGGGCTTAGATTTAGTTGACGGAAAGAGAGGAAACCATTTTCTCATATTTGAATATGTTGAAAATCTCGAAGGATATGAGTACACAACGTTATGAAGAAAGAGACATTCAACATTTATACATATAGTTTCAACTTTCATGTTCAACTGAATTTGAAAATATTGGTAGCGGGAGAGAGAAGAGAAGAAAATTCATTTTCTTTGCTAAGCTCTTCATTTTCAAATGGAGCCAAAGTGATTTGTTGCATGCATTATAAAAGATTTAGATGGAAGCATAACTGATTTTTAAGTGTATCTTTAGGTCTCAGCGCACACATCAGCAGGTAAGACAGTCGTGGCATTATATGCTATTGCCATGTCGCTGCAGAACA